CATCCTGAGTCGTTTTTTGACGGTCCCGAGGCCCGGCAAGGGCCCTTGGAGGCTGAAAATGAGGAAAAACCTCCCCTCGCGATTTTCTCATTACTCGAGGGGGTCTGGGAACGCAGTGCACGAAGATCAAGACGGATGCGCTTCGCCACCATCGGCCTCCATGGGGCCCTCGGCTGCGCCCTGGGGCTCTCTTTTGAACGACTCTCGGGATGAAACAGCGGCCCCGGCGATGGGGGTCCAGCCTTCGAGGCGGTCCCGTACGAACAACCAAGCCATCGGATCTCTGCGTACGGCCGGGCGACCGAGCTCCGGCTGCAAGAGGAGGTACTGCCATCGTGCTACCATTAGTAGGTCGGGCGTGTCCCCCCACAGGCGGATTTGGGGCGAAAAATTGCAAACACCCCCAAAAATATTCCAAAAATATTCAAAAATAGTCCAAACATCGTCCCCAGACGGTTTTCATGACTATGTTTGCTTCTTCCTCCTGTAGAGGGACACGCCCGACTTGATGCCAGCAGAAGCAGAGCCAAACGCGGAGCGAAGGCGCTCCTCCGGCCACGGGGGGCCTCAGCCACGAACGGGTTCTCCGACCCAGATCGCGAGGAGCGGCGGCCAGTAAACCACAGCCTTCGGTCGGGCCTGTCCCCCTGCAGGCGGATCTGGGGCGAGCAACTGACAATACACCCCCAAAATACGCTACAAATCTTCAGAAACAGTCCAAACATCGTCCCCAGACGATTTTCATGACTATGTTTGCTTCTTCCTCCTGTAGAGGGACACGCCCGACTTGATGCCAGCAGAAGCAGAGCCAAACGCGGAGCGAAGGCGCTCCTCCGGCCACGGGGGGCCTCAGCCACGAACGGGTTCTCCGACCCAGATCGCGAGGAGCGGCGGCCAGTAAACCACAGCCTTCGGTCGGGCCTGTCCCCCTGCAGGCGGATTTGGGACGAGCAATTAAGAGTACGAGAAACAAACAAAACTGGTGAAAAAACTAGAAAAATCGTCCTCAGACTATGTTTTGACTGCTGTGGAATATCCCCCCTGCAGAGGGACAGGCGCGACTTGACCATAGCCCCTCCTGAACCCAAAGTGTCCTTTTGACTGCATGGCGACCCCGATCCCTGAGACCTTGGTATTGCATGTTTTTCTCACTGGGCGTTTTCGTCCAGACTCGGGCCCCTGGGATTTTCGCAGATCGATCCGGCCCGAGGAACGCCTCAGAAGGATGTGGTCCAGGGCTCTGGTCGTCCGCTGTGTTGGAATAGTGTCGAAACGTCGACTCAAGGATCTCTAAAACCCAGCCAGATCCACGTGAAAAATCACGACGGAACGTGTTTGGTCCATTCCTGCGTCTGGGGGCGCCACTGCTGGTCTCTGGGACCGTCAACAGCGGCTCAGAACGAAAAACGGGTCCCTGGGTAGGGGTTCAGACTCTTGGGGGAAGAAGAGGGGCAAGGGGAGGAGGAGGGGGAGGCTCAGCGTCGGAATGCAGGTGACGATATAGCCTTACCGCCGCTTTCGTCTCTCTCGCGCCCGAGCGGCAGCTCGACTGCGTGGAGGGCCCTCACATTGTGAAACATCACGATGTGATGGGGTCTGGGGACTCCTCGAACATGCAGCGGGCAATATCATTTGGGCCCGAATCGGCGGCGTACGAGGGGGGGCCTTCATCCGCAGCGCTGGCCCTGCATACGACCGATCCCATTCGGGGCCGACCTCACGACTTCCTAAGGTGTCCTATGTCTTCTGGGTGCCGCCAGGGGCACTGGAAGATCGGAAATCTCCGTTGGGCACCTGCTGGCAGGTTGGCCCAGGGGGCGGGGGGGGCCGGGGGGGGAGGTCGGGAGAGGACGCGCAGGGGGTGGAGTGGTCGAGGAGGAGGGCTTGGCAGCGGGAGGAGGCAAGGGCACCCCCACCCTCCTTCCTCCTCCCCATTCCCCTGACTACAACTACACTCCGCCTGCTGATGCTCACGCTGCTGTCTCATTCACAGGTCCACGCTGGCTGGGCGCCGTAGGGCGAGAGGGCACCCGGCAACCAGCGCCGCCGCTTCAGGGGATGCCTCGGTACTCGGCCCCGTGCGCACGCTCTCCATGGAACTGGTGGGGGCAGCGGCTTGCCAAGAAATTGATGTGGCGTTCAGGACCCAGGGCCATGACCACGTCAGGCCCTCGAACTCCAGGACTCCCTCGTCGTTCTCAGGCTTCTCCCCATCCTCGCCATCCTCCCTCTCCCCCCCAACCTCACGCTGCCCCACTTCGCTCCTTCTGCGGGAGCGGTCCTGGGCACTGAAGCTGACGCACCCCGGACGCACGACCGCTCGCCATGTTCCAGTCTCGGGCCCTCGGACCTCTCTCTCTCTCTCTCTCTCTCTCTCTCTATCTGTCTCGACACCTTACCCGTAGAAGAAATTCTTCGTTTCGACTCGTTTTCTGATGGCCCGTGCGCCCGAAACGTGATTTGGCGGCGAGCCTGGGGAGGAGGAGGAGGAGGAGGAGGG